GAGCATGTGTTGCCATCTGCTGGTTGAAACGCAGAATCCCCCTTTTTCCTACCCACCCACTTGTTTCAGCACCCATGTGTTCTGCTCCCATTGGATGTCATTGGCAAAATTCTAAGCCAGATATGCGCACTGCCAAACTCAAGCCACCACAAGACATTACTCGGAGCTTTGGTTTGCCCATTCCCCATTCGCATTTGGTTCAAGAAAGTTGTCTCTTATACATGCAACAACCAACCCAAGGTTGTGGGGAGCATCACCAATTGATGATGTGGCTAGATGACCCATGGTGCATCTTTCTAAGGCTTCTGCTAGATAGAAGTCCACGCTGGGTATGGAATGCCGTCAGGTGCCATTTACCCCATTTCGGGGGGCACATATTTGCGTACTTGGTGCTGCTATTTGGTTGATATGGAAAATTTTCCACATTTCTTGCTGCCATACAATGCCACCTAGGCTAGTTCTTGGCCATTGTTCGCCATACATTTTTTTCAATTGCCTTACTTTGCCATTTCACTTTGGCATTGTGTTGTTATGTGGCATCTGAACCCTTCTTTCCCGTCCAATTCGGTTGGCAATCATCTCAAAGACGATTGGTTGACCCAGCATCCTTTTCCATTGGGAATACTTTGGGAGGTGCAAAATGCACTTGCTTTGAGCATAGTCAGAAGTGTAGGGTCACCAAAACATTGCACTATCGCCTTAGGGAGCCAAGCGTGGTAACCCAGCCAATCGGGCAAAACACATAATGCATTTGGAATGAACAACGGTGAATCAAATACAGTTATAGTTGCCTCCCATGATGGGCAATCCTATGTGACCACTCATCAAAATAGACACCGCATCACAACAAGAAAAGGGAACACTCTGCAATGCATAGATGCACAATCATACACAATAAAATTAGCAAGCAAAAGTACACTATACCCACAGAGATCATGGGCACTTGGCACACACGTGAAAGAACAAAAGTGCTCTAGAAACACAGAAAATCTTGGTAATTCATTTAGGGGAGAAAGCATGCTGCTCAATGTCATTATGGACTAGCGTTGGAAGATTCGCTGGCCGCTGTTGTGCCACTTGACAGCCAGGCTTGTTTTTTACGCCGTAAAAACTGATCGTATTTACGTTCTTACGAGTAAAAATAGATTTTACGTTTTTACGCAATAAAATGCTTAAAAATACGTAAATGCAACATAAAAACTGCCTGGTGTACATAAGGACAGTACATACAGACTTACAGAGTCCGGAGAGCGGCAGCCAGACGCCTTGGAAGAGGCAGAAGACGAGTTTTTGTTAAACGACATTATCGCCCTTTCCAAAGGCAGGGTGGACATTGTGTTGCGGGTGCTGGAGATGGCGGAGGACTGATCATTTGTAGGCAACTTCTGTCGTGTAACCTACGCATGCCAGGGAGCCGTGAAAAAGTAAAAATAGCCGTAAAAATAACCCCGTTTGCAAATTTACGTTTTTACGTGTAAAAATGTAAATGTAAAAACCAAGCCTGCTGACAGCCATGCCGTCAGGCGCCAGTTCTTTCATAGATTGAGCCACAGGGCGCCCATAGAGCGCCCGCCATCCAATGCCATTAGTTGTGCAGATTTCACCGTTTTGATAACACAATGGGCTGATTCGTAACCCCATTACTAAGTGCATCATCAGTAAGGTTTTCTATTACTGTTTGTGTCAACTGCATCTTGTGCCATTGAGCTTGTGCCATGGGTGCCATTAAAAGACGGCCTACAGCACCGACTTCTATTGCTGGTTAGCTACACAATAGCTCATGCACATTGGGCCAACTTGCATAGTGTCAGGGCTTTTTGGCATTGAAAGCAGCCATGGGAAGCCAAGGGCAAAGTAATTATCATGCAACATCGGATCTATGGTCATGTTGTACATGTCCGGTAATGGCTCACTTGATCGTGGAGCTAGCCATATAACTTTTGAACCAGAGGTAGCATATGTTCCTATGTTTCTGCTCATTCCCGTGAGAGCCATGGCCTCTTATCAAACCGTGCTGCAAGGCCATTGCCACAGTTCAATCTTCCAATTAACTGCAATTGCCATCAACGACATTACACTTACATTCCGACAAACTGTCCAAGATCATGCTATTGGTGCGCAAAAATAGGGAACACAATTCACACTCATCTGCAAGCTACTATCATTCAACACTCACATTATCCACCCAGTGGACCTGAACTTCCACATCATCTTCAATCTAGCAAAGCCTAAACCTTGCTGTGCTTTCATCATCTCCAATTGCCTCAGCTTGAAGGCAACATTTTTATGGTCGTCGCCCAACACTTGTTTTTCAATTGCAACACACTTTTTCAACAATCTCACAGCATCTGCAGTCTTCCCTTGTTGGTGCACCGCACAGCCCAGATTATACAAACTCATTGCAACATCTTCGTGGACTTCCCCCAGGGCCTGTGTTCTGATGGCCAAGGCCCTGCTGTGATTCTCCTCAGCCTCAAGGTATCTCCCTTGCTCGTACGCCACCATTCCCAGGGAATGCAAAATAGTAGCAATGTTCATGTGGTCCTCTCCTAAAGCCTGTTTTCTGATGGCCAGGGCTCTGCTGTGATACTCCTTAGCCTCCGGGTATTTCTCTTCACAATACATGACTTCACCCAGGTCATGTAAAATAGTTGAAACTAACAAATGGTTGTCTCCCAGCACCTGCTGTACGATGGCCAGGGCTCTGCTCAAATGCTGTGCAGCTTCATGGTGCTTCCCTTGTTGATGCAAAGAACTTCCCATTGCCAACAGACACGACCCAATAACTAGGTGGTCATCACCACCGAAGGCCTGGATTCCAATGGTCAAAGCATCAGCACAGAACTCCACTGCTTCAGAAATATTCCTTTGACCCATTTTCACCGCTGCCCCCATCATAAGACAAGATGCAACATGTCGGTCAATGTCACCAAAAGCATGCTTGAAGATGGCCAATGCCCTGTCATGGCATGCCTCAGCCTCAGGAAGTTTGTTTTGGAGCAACATGGCATATCCCAGAAAAAACAAATCCCGTGCAACGGCTGGGTGATCAGGACCGAAAATCTGCTTTGTCATACCAAGAGCCATATTAGCAAACTTGCTGGCCTGAGAAAGATCTCCTTTGCCAACAAACACAAAGTTGCTGATAACCACGTTCGCCAAGCCACACAGGCTCTGTGCAACATGTGGGTGGAAGTCACCCAGAACCTGCTTTCTGATTTCCAGTGATCTGTGGAGGTGGCCTTCAGCTTCTGAAAACACGCATTGCAGGCTCATCACCAGCCCAATGCCAAACAAGCTCCGAGCAGCCTCTGTGGTGGCATTATCATTCCCAATTGCCAAAGCCTTGACAAAGCACTCTTTGGCCTTGGGCAGTTTCACCAGATCAAACATCACATCCCCAAGATCATTCAGACTCTGTGCTAAATCAGGGTGATTGGCACCCAGCTCCTGTGTTCTGATCATCAATGCCCTGGTGCAATTTTCTTCAGCTTTTGACAGCCTCCCCAGGCGCCGCATTGTCACCCCCAAATACCCAAGGCATGTTGCAGTGTATTGGTGCTCATCACCCAAACACCCCCTGGAAATGTCCAAGGCCCTTGCATGCAGCCTCTCAGCCTCTGTGTAGTTACCAAGAATCCCGGCAACAAGTCCCAGACGGTTCAAGCTCTCAGCCACCAATTCATGCTCTTCTCCTAATCTTGCTATTTGAAGATCTAAAGCCCTTTGATAACCAACCTTGGCCTCTTGATATTTCAACTGCTCCTGCAGATTTAATGATGACGTCACACACTCTTCTGCTTCCATGAGGCCCCATGGTTGCTGAATGCTTTGGCATGCATTGTCCACATTTCTGCCCTATATGCAAACATCAACATTACAGTGTCTATGATGGAAAAATACGCATGGTAGTCTATTGCACTTGTGCAAACTGACAGTGCTTTCTTCTGTGATTGCCACCATTCCGCACAGTGGAACATGCCATATTTCACAAAGTGCACATCAAACAGACCATGCCATCTTGCAAAGATATCAGTCCCCCATTTCTCTTACAAAGAAAACGCAAAACAATGTAAAAATAAATGCACTAATCAAGCTTGGACTTTACAAACCAATACTTGACAAAAAGATGTCCAGGATTTTGAGACAGCAAAGAGCAATATCCCCAACATCAAAATGATTTCCACGTTTGGCTTGCACTGGACAGTATTCATGCCTGGGTGGTGAGCGGGTTACCTCAATAGTGGACTCTGCTTGTGGCATCCAGTTCAGTGACATCTGGCCCAGCTGACAAACAACCTCCTCCATTGTAGGTCTGTCATGGGGCTCCGCTGCACAACATTGCTTCATCAATTCCAACATCTCTGATGGACAGTCTTGATTTGATTCGACTGGGCAAGGGGGGTACTCATTGCTCTTCCTGAAATACAGAGCCTCAGGATTCCCTGCTCTCCCACCATAGGGATCCTTCCCGCTGACCACTTCAAATAAGGTGACTCCCCAGCTGAAGACGTCAGATTCTGCTGTGAGGGGTTTTTCAAAGTAGGCCTCGGGGGCAATGTACTTAGATGTTCCAGCAGCCAGCCTGACACTCAGTCCGCTGGTCTCCCTTTGCGCAAATGCTACCCCAAAGTCTGACACTTTCATTTTGAGGCTGTTGTGTTCAGTCCCAAAAATCAGAAAGTTCTTCGGCTTCACATCCGAATGAACCAGAACCGGCTTGCGACAGTGCATGTAATTCAAGCCGGCAGCACCCTGTTGAAATAGTTTGAGCATTGTACTCCAAGACAGCTTCTGTTCACCATGACACAAGTCCCAAAGAGTGCAATCAGCCTTCTCCATAACCATCCAGCCTGAAGCAGTAGTGCCATGGAAATGCACGATGTTTGGATGGTTCAGTGATGCATGCACACAACCCTCTTTGATGAGCTCTGCTAGCTCCTCAACAGGCAATTCACCTGTACGCTTGCTTTTCTTTACAGCAACTTCTGCAGAAAGCCACTCTGCTCTGTGTACCACTCCCAGACCGCCTTCGCCAATTGACTCATGCAGTTGAACTTTGTTCTCATCGATGATCTGCAACTTCCCCATATTGTCATTGTGAGTGTCTTTGATGGCCTGCCATTGTAACCTCTGTTGTTCTATCATGTCAAAATCCACATCTCGCAGGATGTACGACAGCAGGTCGTGTAAGTCTCGTTCATCATCCATCACCCACTGCCTGTGTAACTTCTCCTCAACGCCCACTTTGTGCCGCATACGCCACCCCTCCAGGATGTCATTCAGACGCTCACATATCTTCTCCACTGCCTTGCAGGCAACCTTGCATGTGTAGAACTGCCTTATATCCAGAAGCTTTGCGTGTTTGGCAAGCAGCCTTTGCCCTTTGGCAATTTGCTCATCGAAAACTCTGCAATCCTTTTCATTTGCATCTGGTGGCTTCTGGTTTGACAGGTGGCGAACTTTGTCCAGCTGGTCCTTCAGAAACTCCATGATCCTCCTGTTGTACTGAGCCTGAAACCAGTTGAAGTCTAACCTCAGCAAATGCCGCATTTCATGACTGGAGAGGGCACTGCGCTTTGGATGACTACCCACAGCAATAGGGATCAATCTTCACAAGGATCCTCTAGCACCCAGGTCCATACCCAGACCTGGGCATCGATAGTGGTAGTATCTGGGGAATGCAGATATCCCAGGTGCTGCCAGCACCCTGCTTTGGCACATCCAGTGACTTGGCTAAGAAGTTCACGGCCGGGTCCCGTTGCTAATGTGCACATCAAGCATGCAAATGAGGCACGTCTGGCAAAAGGACATCTGACAGACAAATGAAGCATCAGTATTGGAAGTGCAGTACAGGTGGCGGACAAGGGAAGAGAACCAACCTGACACGATGCTGTATGCTTTGAAATTGATCTTTAAGCCACACTTAACATCTGTACTGGGCCCTACAACATGCATCATACATTTACATGGAATACTGACACTCTTGTGGCTGATGCCAGTACTGTACACAGTGCTTGTATGCCACACCCCAGCACATCTGCGCAGTACATGCACATGGGATAGAGGCAGTGGATGGGGAGCACCTGAGCACCTGGAGTTGCAGTGAAAGATGGACACCAAGATCTGTACACGAGATAGGACAGCCATTTGGGTCTGATGCTGCACACTGCATGGTTGCATGACACTCTGCACCTAGCACGTGTATTGGACCTCGTATCTGCTGTGTCTGCACCCAGTTGGAGAGAGCTGGGGACATGCACAGACTATACAGAGCCTCAGTAACACCTGGCCTGTGCCGTTGCATCAAAACAGGCGGTGTCTATACCAGGCTGCATGTGTGATGTATCTGTACCTATGGCATGGGCAGGAGGACGACATCCACAGATTGAATGAGGTGCAAACAACAGATTTCCGGCGCTGAATGGGGCATCAAAAAAACTGGCTGCGCCTTGGCAACAGCTGGCTGGCTGCGGCCGTGGAATGAGAATAGACAACCATCATACACTAGATGCTGCACATTTTAGCAGGACTGGGTAGCATACAGCTCTCAGAATCTGTGCTGATTGCGCATGTACGCAACACAGACATCACGGAGTGCAAGGCATCGGTGACTGATGTTTGATGCTGACTGATATTCAGGCAATGCGTGTTGACGTTGCACACTGTATGACCATCGTAGACAGTGCTGGTGGTGAGACACACAAGCACAGTGCATGCACATGGGAGTGGGGAGGCATGGAATACTAGACTGTTGAGCAGGGCATCAATGACAGGTGTTGCATACTGCAGGGAGAGAAACCTGCAGGGGAAAATCAAGTACAAGCGCTTCCCTAACAAAAGCAACACAATGAAAGGCACTGGCCCGGCTACCCACACTTTGCCGCAGCAATGCTTGCTGAACGACAGGGAAATGTGCAAAATGTAATGATAAGCGGTGCTCTAATGGAAGAATTCGGAGGAATGGACCACAGAATGGGCACAACAAGATGAGCAGAGCAAAAGGGGTGCGGGCAGTCGGTCCCAGCACCAAGTCGCAAAAGAGCACCGCGACTCACTTCATATTCCTCCGTCGCCATCACGGCCCCGACAGCTCAGAACGCTCCGCCTCCCCGCCTGTCCAGCCGCGCAGAACGAACTCCAATTCCCCGCCCACCTCTCCCTCTCCCGACCCGGTCCGAGGATCCAGAAGGGCGACCGGGAAACCTCGCGGCAAACCCTCGCGAGTGGCGCGCCTCGGCGGCCGCCCACCCACGGGACGCGGGGCCCGGCGACCTCAGGCGCCAACCCTCCGCCCGCCAATGGTCATCTCCTCGATGCCCCGCCGCCGTCCTCACACAGCACCCCACGCCTCACCCGAGCCGCGGCTGCGGGACCCTTCCAGAACGTCGGGACGCCTCCCGGGGGGGGGGGGGATCCGATCGACGGCCTAAATGTACGGCGCGCTCCGGCGCGACGGGGCGGCGCTTGGAGGCTTCGCCGTAGGCGATCGCTGACCCGCGGAGCCGGAGAGCCGCGCTGACCCACTCCGCGCCTGCACGCCTCCTCGGCCTTCGCAGTTCGTAAAGTACCAGGTGGCGGTGAAAAAAACGGGGAAGAAAAACTGGTCAGCGCGTCGCTGGCGCTAAAGTACTGGGCATCCGCTGAAAACGCAGAAAGAGTGGTTACCGCCGACTGTGTGCGTAAAGTACTGATAGTGGGTCACAAAGGCGCAAAGTACGCCCCACAGCGCCCCGGCCACGGCACCCGGTCCGTGGCTCCCAAAGTAGTGATCACGTCGAAAAAGCACGAGCACACCTTCATGGCCCGACACCTTGACACCCTCTCCGCCCACCCACTCCCCACCCGGCCGCACCAACCCGCGTTCGGCTCCCCGGCGACCCGCCTTCCCCTCTGCCTCATTCCGCAGCCCCAACACTGGGCCAAAAAGGTTGCGTCGGCGATCGTTCGCCGCCAGCCGCGGGAAGAGATGCCCAGCGCTCCCGGAGGGGCCCCCATCGTGCATCCTGCCCCGCGCCACCGGGCCCCCGTACCCCCGCCTCGGGCAGAGGGCGAGCGCCGGCCCAGCGGTCGGGCCCTTCCGATACGTATCGACATCCGACCGTAGAGGCGCGCGGATGCGCCGGTAGGGGTCCGGGGGGGGGGCCGGAGATTGGACGCCGGGGGCCCGACCCACGGGGAAGGGAGCCGCGGAGGGCGTGGCCGTGCTGGGCGCATCGGTCGCATATCGTATCGGACGGTGCCGTGCTTTGGGCGGCGAGGGACTCTGTGGACTGGAGGGCCGCCGCTCCGACGTGGACGGCGGCCTCGTTTTGGAACGGGGGTGGCGCCGGGCCAGCCACGACAGGATGGGCAACGCACAGCATCCCGTCCCCTCCCACCCATTCACGGGCGCTGTCAACGAGGGGGCAGGTAGAACGGGAGACCATGGACGGACGTCCTGCTGTTGTTGGGGAGCATATTTGTGCTTTGGGTTTCAGGTACTTGTGTTCAGGGAGGGGGCATGGCTCTGGTAGTATCTTGTCCATGCACAGGTCGGTTACTACCCACTGCTGTACCATGTGGCTGCCCCACACCTTGCTGTTGTGCCACCTCAACAGCAGCCGCCATAGTGGGAGGCCAGCTGGGGAGCAGCTCGCACCCCCTACCCACCTCCCCACCTGTGCCTTCCTAACAAGAGGTCCTCCTGACCTGACCAGCATTTCCTTCTTCCAGTGACCAATGTCAGTCGGCATGCAGCCCTTTCCATTTCAGGCTCTGCTGTGCGCAATTGGGCTTGACACCTTCAGTCGCAGCTAATCCACCTGTTGGCATTTGCTGAAATGAGTGATAATGATAGAGGTCACACTTGTGGCCAC